GATCAAATTGCAGTATGCTTCCATCTTTTCGCTGGTTGTGTCCCAGTCCTTGTTGAGTTGGTTGATGACCAGAGCAGAGTCTCCATAGACGTAGAGACATTTAACGCCAAGCTCAACCGCAATGCGCAAACCATGTAGGCATGCTTCATACTCGGTGGCATTATTAGATGCTGGGAAATAAATCCTGAGGACGTACCGGAGCTGCTCCTTGGACGGTGATATAAAAAGGACTCCTGCTCCCGCACCGTCAATGTTGAGAGAGCCGTCGAAGTACATCGTCCAATATTCGTCGGATCTGGGAGAGGCAGGCGTGCTTAAGTCTGTCCACCCGACGATGAAATCGACAAGTGCCTGAGACTTGATTGTAGTGCAGCTTGCAAATTCCAAGGAAAAGGGGCATAGCTCCATTGCCCATTTGATGATGCGCCCGTTCGCATCCCTGTTGCTAATGATGTCTCGCAGAGGGTACTCGATCCACGACCACCACGATATCCGTCAAGTAGTGTTTCAACTTTCGGGATGTTATCAGTATGGCATAGATCAACTTCTGAATCTGTGGGTACCTGGTCTTGGACTCCTTGAGTACCTCACTAATGAAATAGATTGGCCACTGTACCTTGTAGACATGGCCGGGCTCGTCTCGCTCGACCACCATGGTCGTGGAGACCACTCGATTGGTAGCCGCAATGTATAGCAGGAGTGTTTCGTCTTCTCTTGGAGCAATGTGTACCGGAGGTGACGTAAGGTATTGTTTCAAATTGTGTGAAGGCAACGTCACTTCCTCCGACCACTCAAACTTTTGGACGCTTTGAGTAGTTTAAAGAACGGTAATCCTTTTTTGCCTAATCTTGATATGAAACGGCTGAGAGCGGCCATACATCTGGTAAGCTTCTAAACATCCTTCACCTTTTTGGGCGGCTTCATGTCCAAAACAGCTTTGACTTTTTTCGGGTTAGGGCGTATGCCATCGCGACTGACGATGTTGCCGAGGAGTATGCCAGAAGGAACACCAAAGATGCACTTCTTTGGGTTTAATTTCCACTTTGGAATGTGTTAAGGGCTGCAAAAGTCGTCCTGGTTGTCAACAAGGGTATGAGCTTCCTTGGTTTTGACAACTATATCATCAACGTAAGCCTCGACGAGGTCATCTTTTATCTCGTCTTTGAGGCAAGCTTGTATAGCGCGTTGGTAGGTAGCCCCGGCGTTCTTGAGCCCGAACGACATGGTCGTGTAGCAGTAGGCGCCGAAGGGCGTGATAAAAGATGTCTTGATCTGGTCATCCTTTTTTAGAACGATCTGGTGATAACCAGAGTAGCAATCGAGAAAAGAAAGGAGCTCGCAACCGGCAGTTGAATCTACGACCTCGTCTATGCGAGGCAAGCCGAAGGGGTCTTTAGGGCAGTGTTTGTTGAGATCAGTGTAATCAACGCACATTCTCCATTCATTATTCTTTTTGCGTACAAGAACCGGGTTGGCTAACCACTCCGGATGATACACTTCTTTGATAAATCCGGCTGCCAAAAGCTGTGTAACTTCTACCCTAATCGCCTCCTTTTTGTCGCGAGCAAACCGTCGTAGCTTCTGCTTGGTTGGTTTGGCCTTGCCGTTGACATTCAAGGAGTGCTCAATCAAGTTCCGAGGTACACCGGGCATGTCAGCAGGTTTCCATGCGAACACATCCACGTTGCTCCTCAAGAACCTGACGAGCACGTCTTCCTTTTTGGGATCCAGGTTGGCCCCGATAAGGGCCGTCTTGCTGGGATCACCGTCGACCAGCTGGATCACCTTGTGCTCCTTGGACTCGATGTTCTTGCATGGAGCCTCGAGCTCCGGGATCTCCTGGTGGTCGATCGAGGTCTTCTTGGCGTTGAGCACGGTCTCGGCCATGCGAATAGAGAGGTCGTGAGCCTCTGCTATTTTGAAACTGTCATCTTCGCAGGTATAAGCTGCGTACATGTTGCCTCGGAGGGTTAGAACTCCTTTCTCGGTAGGCATCTTGAGCACCAGATACCTATAATGAGGTATGGCCATGAACTTGGTGAGCGACGGTCGACCAAGAATAGCATGGTAGGTGCCATCGAAGTCGGCGACCACAAAGTTGACGTAGTCGGTGCGGAAGTGATCCGGGGTCCCAAACTGCACTGGTAGCGTGATCTGCCCGAGAGGTGTAGAGCTCTGTCCGGGGAGAACACCCCAGAACTGTGCCTCGTATGGCTTGAGGTCCGCCTGAGCTATCTTCAGGGCGGGCAGACTGTTCTTGAACAGTATATCAATGGAGCTGCCGCCGTCGATCAGTACTCTGTCGAACTAAACTTTGTTGATACAAGGATCGAGGACCAGGGGAAAACGCCCTGGCTCAGGTATTGTGGCCCATTGGTCCTTTCTGCTGAAGGAGATTTCACGGTGAGACCATGGAGGGAGCCGCGGATCGGTGAGGAGATTGTCGGTGTTGGCCACGTTCAAGCAAGCGCGGGCGAGCAGCTTGCGTTCTCGTTTAGTCTTGATGGACACTTTGCCTCCGATGATGGTGTGCACGCGATCGGTTGGCTTGACGTACTTGTGACGGGGGTCTGCATCGTCGTCATCGTTATCCTCGTTGCGCTGTTCCCCTGCGTCGTTAGGCTTGTCGGACGTATCCGGAGCTTGTTGACGCATGTAGATAGACTTGAGGACGCGGCAATTCTCCATGGTATGGTTCGACTTAGGATGGAGCTGGCAGGGCCCCTTCAATGCCTTGGCGTAGTCGTCTTCATAGTTACAATGTCCGCCACCCTTTTTAACGGTGTTGACCTCGCCGTCATCTTCCCGAGCACGCTTGCTCCTATAATCGTCACGGCGGTTACGCCGCTGATTACGTTGGTCACGGTGGTCGCGGGAGTCATTGCGCTGGTTGCGGCGATCAAAATTGTCATTCCGACCACGGTTGCCGCGGTAGTCGTCACGGTGTGGGGGGTGGTCGGAGCGCGGAACCCTTGCTGCTTCTTCAATAATTATCTTTTTAGCGTCGTCGGCGTCCGCGTATTTCTTAGCGATGGCTAGGAGCGCTGTGACCGAATCAGGTCTTTTGCGGAGGAGCTTGTCCCTTAGGGCATCGTGGAAGCGGAGGCCAGTGATGAAAGCCTCGATTGCCTCGTTGTCGGAGATTGATGGGACCTTGATGCGCATCTCTGAGAAATGCCGGACGTACTAGCGCAGCGGCTCATCTTTTCGATCTCGAATACGTTGCAGATCGTATGTGTTGCCTGGTTGTTCACAAGTAGCAATGAAGTTGTCGATGAAGGCTTGCTTGAGCTCGTGCCAAGAGTCAAAATAGTTCACCGGCAAGCTGACCAGCCATTGGTGACCCGCATGGCCAACAACGACTGGGAAATAGTTAGACATGATGTGCTCGTCCGCCATGGCTGAACTGCACGCAGTCTCGTAAAGCATGACCCATAATTTGGGGTTTTCCTTGCCGTCGTACTTCTGAAGCTTCTCGAGCTTGAAATTCTTGGGCCATATGACTTGGCGAAGGTGTGGAGTAAACTGCTTCAAACCCGGCGGGCTGTGGGCAGTGTCATATTCCATACGACGATAACTTTCGTGGGACGCTCGATCGTCGGCTCTCTGGTTGGTGCGAGCGCACAGATCGCGTCCACCGAGGTAATGGCGGAGATCGTTATTGCCATCGTGGCGATCTCGATTGCCATCTGGATTAGCCCTGCGACCGCGGTTATCTCGGCGATTATCGCGGTTGTCCCAGCGGCGGTTGTCGTCCTGGCCACCATCATGGCCACCATTTCCTTCTTGACGGTTGTCTGATGGGTCGTTGTTGCGTGAGCCACGTTGGTTGGGCGGCTGTGAGCGACTTGGGTGTCGGCGGCTATGGCTTGACTCGACCGAGACGGATGGAGCCTGAGCTTGGTTTACAATCTCCAGCGGTTCCAGGCCATAGCGACCGTCCGATATGGGCTTGTATTTCATCGCGAACTGCTTGGGTTTCCAGGGTGTTGGGTAGCCGTTGCATTGTTGCCATGGTGATGGCTACATTGGCACTTGGAGTTCTGAAGACCTGTTTGTCCCCCACCCTGTCGAAAGCATCGTTGAGGTCACGTGGCTAGACCCTTTATCGTCGTGCCTCCCGATGCCTTCGGCTTCGATTTGTCGGCGATTAAAACGGTCAATATTGCGTGCTTGGCGTGCGATCCTTTCTTGTTCTTTACGCCAACTATCGGTGGTTCGTCATTCTTGACAACATGGATCGATCCCTCGTCTTGGCGGAAAGACAGAATTGTGAGAACCCCGGGCGTGGTGCAGGATATCCAGATCGTGCTTGGCGCCTTCATCTTCGTGATCTTTGAAGCTCGGTGTGGACGGATGCATTAGATGCGGTGCTAGAGCGAGGAGGAGGGGTCGCCCTCTTGGGTCGTGTGAATGGATCCTTCTTGATAATCTTCA